TATTAATGCCACCTTTGTGGCTTTAATTCCCAAGAAAGTGGGAGCTGAGGAACTGACAGATTTTAGACCTATTAGTCTAATAGGTGGAGTTTACAAGATCATTGCCAAACTGCTGGCAGAAAGGTTAAAGAAAGTGCTACACAGGCTTGTAGACAACCAACAAATGGCATTCATAAAAGGTAGACAAATAATGGATGCAGTGTTGATAGCAAATGAATGTGTTGAGTCTAGACAGAAAAGCAAGTGCCCTGGAATTCTATGCAAGCTTGATATACAGAAGGCCTATGATCATTTAAATTGGAATTACTTATGATGCAAATGATGGGTTTTGGAGCCAAATGGATTAGATGGGTGAAATTCTGCATAAGCACAGTTATGTTTTCTACTTTAGTTAATAGATCTCCTAGTGGTTTCTTTTCATCCCAAAGGAGACTGAGACAAGGTGACCCCCTGTCAGTCTGTCACCCTTTTTATTCATCTTAGCCATGGAAGGTTTGAGTAACCTAATTCACACAACAAAGATGAAGGGTTGGGTAAGGGGCTTTAGGGTGGACAGCAGTGCACAAAATGGCTTGGAGATTACCATCTGCAATATGCAGATGATACTCTTATTTTTTGTGAAGAAATGACAGGGCAAATGTTTATCCTAAGAGTAATATTCATCATCTTTAAAGCAGTCTCTGGATTACATATCAATTGGGGGAAGAGTTTCATTTATCCCATAAATGAAGTGGCTCAGGTGGAGAGTCTGGCAGGGGGTTTTGGGTGGTAGGGTAGGGGAACTACCAACTATATACCTAGGTATGCCATTGGGGGGGAAAAGAGGCAAAATCAATAGGGATCTGGAATGGAGTGATAGAAAAATGCGAAAAGAGCTAACCAATTGGAAGAGCCAATATCTGTCTAGGGGAGGTAGATTAACCATGGTTAATAGTGCGCTAGATGCAATACCTGCTTATATGATGTCTGTGTTCCCAGCACCAAACAAGGTCATACAGAGGATAGATGCTTTGAAAAGAAATTTCTTTTGGCAGGGAAATGAAGATAAAAAGAAGTTTCATCTAGTCAAGTGGGAAGAGGTCATAAAAAATAAGAAAGAGGGGGGACTGTGGATCCAAGGGCAGGCAAATTATGGATGCCGTTTTGATAGCTAATGAATGCATAGAGACGAGATAGAGGAGCAACAAGCCAGGAATTATATGCAAGCTGGACATACAAAAAGCTTATGACTTCTTAAACTGGGACTTTCTTATACAAATGCTGGAAAGAATGGGTTTTGGGGCCAAGTGGATAAGATGGATAAAACATTGTATTGGCACTGTCAGGTTCTCTATACTTGTGAATAGAGTACCCACTGGATTTTTCTCTTCCCAGCGAGGCTTGAGACAGGGGGATCCTCTTTCCCCCATTTTTATTCATCTTAGCTATGGAAGGAATGAGTAACCTTAATAAAACAACAAAGGGAAAGGTGTAGATCAAGGGGTTCCAAGCAGGAGAACTCTCTAGTTTGGAGATAACTCATCTACAATATGCAGATGACACATTGGTTTTTTGTGAAGCTGAGACAAAACAAATCCTGATTTTGAGGGTTATTTTTGTCATTTTTGAAGCTGTCTCTGGTCTCCACATAAACTGGGGGAAAAGCTTCATCTATCCTATCAATAGTGTGCTTAATACAGAAGTTCTGGCCAGAACACTAGGAGGTAAGGTTGGGGAGCTTCCAACTACTTACCTAGGTATGCCTTTGGGAGCTAAAAGCAAGTCCAAAGGCATATGGAATGGGGTCCTGGAGAAATGTGAAAAGAGACTCACCAACTGGAAGAGTCAGTACTTGTCCTTGGGAGGAAGATTGACTTTAATTAACAGTGTGATGGATGCATTACCCTCTTATATGATGTCAGTCTTTCCTATGCCTGCCAATGTATCTAATAGCATTGATGCTCTTAGAAGAAATTTCTTATGGCAAGGCAGTGAAGATAAGAAGAAGTTTCATCTTGTTAAATGGAAGGAACTGATTGTGAGTAAAAATACAGGAGGCCTAGGCATAAGAAATCTGAGGAAACAAAACCAGAGTCTAATGATGAAGTGGTTGTGGAAGTTTGCAAATGAAGATAACATGCTCTGGAAAGAGGTCATCACAGCAAAATATGGCATGGAAGATAAGTGGATGACTAAAATGATAAGTACTCCATATAAATGCACTGTATGGAGGGCAATCAGAAATCTATTGCCAGTGCTATATCACAGAACCAAGGTAGAAGTGGGAGATGGGTCAAAGACATCCTTCTGGGAGGATAAGTGGAATGGGTCTGTCCCTATGAAACAGTTGCATCCTGAATTGTTCATTTTATGCCAACATCA